CGGCGCTCGGTTGGTGCGCGAGCGCGGCTCCGCCCCGCCCGCTGGGCGCGCGCCTCCGCCAACCCGGCTCTCTTCCCCACCCCCGGCGCGGACGGGGTGGCTCCAGCTCCCTTCCCTCCCCCGAGCGGCGGCGGCGGCAGGCGCTGAATGAGAGACGCCGACTGCTCGGGTCGCCGAGCGCTAGCCTAGGCGGCGGCGGCGACGAAGCGTGTGGCCGGCGTCGTCGTTCCGTCCTCCGAGGCGACTGCACAGGTCGGTTTTCTGGCTGCGGGCCTGGTGCGGAGCCTCGGCGGGCGGTGCGGGGGAGGGAAGGTGGGTGCGCTGTGCCCCCCGGGCGGCGCGGAGTCGCTGCGGCGGCGGCGCGGGGAATGGCGGCGGCTCGGCGCTGCGGGGTTGGATCTCCCGGCCGCGGGCCCCGGAGCTGCTCGTTCTCGGCGCGGGGAGGGGGCTGAGGGGCTCGGGCTGAGGAAGGGCGCCGGCGGTCCGGGGCCGCGCCTCCCTGGGCAGCTCGCCCTCGCAGTCAGGAGGCGGCCGTGGGGTCCCCGCTCCGGGTCTCTGTCCCGAGGCCGGGGGGCGCGGTGACCCCCCAAGCCCGCCACGCCTCGCCGTCCCTCCTGGGGGGCGGCAGCCCCCAGCCCCCTCCCGCGCTGCCCCCGGCCCCCGGCGGCGCCTCAGCGTCCCCTCAGGTGAGCCGGAGCCGGGACCGCCGCGCCGGGCCACACCCCCTCCCCTGGCCCCGGCGGCTGCGCCCCGAAGCCTGGCCGCCGGGCCGGCCGCCCGCTCCCGCACCCTGGCGGTCAGGGTGACCTGTTGCGGAGCGGCCCGCAGCCCGCGTCGCCCGCCAGCCTCGGACCCGGGGGCTGGTCCTGCGCCGGCCTCGGGCCGGGCGCGCGGCGGGGTGCGGAGCCCCGGGCGCTGCCCGAGGTCGGGTCGCTGAACAGCTAGGAGCGGGCGTATTGCAAAAAGAGATTCCGGACGGATTTGATCAAACACTTGCAAAGCCGGGATATCTGTCTGCAAATATCCGGAATTCCACTGCAGTATCGGATTAGGTAGGCTCGTAAACACCGTGCTGTGGAGGTGATTTGGAAGAAACCCGAGCCGCGAGTGAGGAGCTGATATCTGGAAAAGAGCCGTAAACCTGTGCGGACCTAAATGATCCCCCCCACCTGCCCCTCTGGAAGCTCTTTTCCTGTAGCTGTGTGTTGTGTAGACGCAGGCCAGTTTCAGTGTACGTGGGCGTGTTTGGGAAGAAGCTGCGAGCTGATAGGAGGTACCTTAGTACAAATGTTAATTTGTCTGAACTGGGAGGGGTGAGGGAGGAGGAGGAAAGGGCACTGATGTTAGCTGTGGAGGAGGGGCAATTGAAACGCTCAATTTCTGTTTGAGAAAGCGCTAAAAAGAAGTATCTAATACCCACTGTTTAAGGCCATAAAGTAAGAAACGCAGGCGGCAGTGAACTGAGCTTTATCTTTCATGTGCCCTTGATAGTGTAATTTCAACGCTATAGTTGCTGTAGAGAGCCTTGTTTTCGTACTAGTGTTTATGAGTTGATTTTGGTGTTTTTCTGTACTCACCATCAGATCGACTCTTGTTCAGGTCTCTTTGGAGATGACCACTAGAATTTTGGGAAACTTTTCGATCCGTGCATGCATAGTATTGCAGTTACAGATCATAGCTTGCTGGCCGTAAAGCCTGTTCACCCAGATAATTATGATTATACAAGTGCTGTAGAATCATAAATATTTATATTACTGTTACCGCTGAATATCTTACTGTAGACTTTAGAATTATGAAGGAACTTATCCAAACAGTATTATATTAATAAAAATAACCTCTGATTCAAGGCTTGTGTGCGTAAAGTTTATCATCTAGCTTCACAGATTTGGAAAATACCTTGTCCTGTTAGCTAGACCTAAAGATCAAATGTGAGGACATTAGATGCCTTTCTGAGTAAATAATTTAAATGTAATTAGTTTATTTTAAACTTAGTTCATTTTCTCTTTTTAAAATTCACTATAATAATTTTGAAACCGTAAGATCTGCCTTTGATTTTTCATTATATTCCACCTTTCATTGAATTAGGGAATTTGACTTTTCAAAATACTCTGGGTGGGCCTCTGGAAATATCCTTCACTTTGCCTAAATTATTCCAGATTGCAACAGAACTTGAAAGATAGAGCTTGAATGATCAAGATTGCAACATACTTCTCTGATACATGTTTTTAATATCAGAAAGAACACACTAAAATTTCCTCAGAGAAAATATAGCTAAAAAACTGGCTTTGTGAATCTTACTCTTTGTACTTTTATTACACATGTGAGTAATGTATTTGTGTGTCTTGAAATACCTAGTAACTGTCTTTTACAGTTATTACAGTTGAGACAGTAGTTGTTTGTAGTGAATGATGGATATATAGGTGAAATTGTTCGGTTGCAACTTAAAACACTTAAGCTGTTGTCCAGAGACCTGTTTCATTCATTCGTTCATTCTTTCATACTTTTTGAGTACCTCCTTGGTGCTGGTTAGTTGCCTAGATGTTGGGGATACAACAAAGAAAAAGACAGACAGGTCTGTGCCCTGATGGAGCTCAAAGGGTAAATAGGCAAATAGTCTATGACTTCATTGTCAGATAACAGTGTTAGTTTCAAAGTTTCATAAGTAAAAACTCCTCTGATGAGTTTTTTGGTTAAGGATATTGTTTGTGTTTTTCCTTCTAAGAATAGTGGGAATTATTATTTAGTGAACAAATGCATTAAGACAGTTATTTTAAAAATATGCTAATGTTTATATACATTGGGTGTCTGGTTCCCAAGTATACCAGAAATAAACATTCTACCTGAAGTCAGATGATGCCTAGTTTACATGTGGTTAAACAGCTTTATTCTTTTGGTTTATATAGTTAAGTGAAATGTTGGCTAAAAATATTCTCTCTTGGTGCTTGTTTATAAGGGAGTCTAATTCTTTTCTTGTTTTTTGAGTCAAAATTTAAAAAAAATATATTTCTTTCTTCTGACTGTGTATGTGAGTGGACCAATGTCCTTCCAATTCTATGGAAGAACATAGAATCTGATAACCGTTATTGCTAAAATCAGAGAAGTTTGACTGAAAGTGATAGTTTTCCTTTTTTGATTAAAATTTGACAAATATTAGTGTAGATCTTTGCAGATTACAAAGCTTTTAAAAAATATATTATTGATCCTTAAATATTTTGATACTTCTCATTGACAGGACTACCAGTCATTAATATTGACCCTGTACAGGCATTATTATCTCCATTTTAGATGAGGAGATGGGTTTGGAGATGGTAAGCACATGGCCGATAAGCAAGCAGGGAACCTTAACCTATAGTAGGAGCTATATGTAGCTCCTACTGTAATGTGATGCACCACCTCAGGAGTGTAGAGCTCAGTGGGGAAAGCTTCAACATCTAGATGCTTTCAGCTGCTGGTGTGCTTTTCCAGAAATTTCTAAATAACTTTTAAACTTTAAATCCGACTCTTAATTGAAACTTAATTAATTGAATTTGTTCTCTCTTTGTGAGATAAACTTTAAAACCTATTTAAAATTTAAATGTATTGCTTTTTTGCTATATAAAAAAGACAGTTTGGGGGCTGGCCTGGTGGCGTAGTGGTTAAGTTCATGCACGCTCCGTTGCAGCGGCCTGAGGTTCACAGGTTCGGATCCTGAGCGCAGAACTACGCACTGCTTATCTATCAAGCCATCCAGTGGCAGGCGTCCCACATATAAAGTAGAGGAAGATGGACACGGATGTTAGCCCAGGGCCAATCTTCCTCAGCAAAAAAGAGGAGGATTGGCAACAGATGTTAGTTCAGGGCTAATCTTCCTCACCAAAAAAAAAAAAACCAGCAAAAAGTTTGGATTTACTTTTAATGGTACAAGTGGTTTGAGAATAAGACATATTAAAATCAACCTTATTATTTGAATATGAGATTCTTTATTATGTAACAACTAGATTTGGAATAAAATTGTTGCTTCAATCTGAATACTGTATTTTTTTAGTTTATTCAATTTTCAGTGAAAAGATAATTCAAATAGCTTGAAATTCTACCTCAGCCTGAGTGAGGTTCCTTGGAGAGGAAAATGAATGTATTGCGTTACCCTGTAGATTATTTCTTTAAATGTGTCTTATTGCCATTGGTTTAGAGTACCTCTTCAGTGAGAGAATGAAGATTAGGTGTGATAAATTTAGGTAACTTGGAATTAATCTGGAATCTTTCTTGATTAATGTCTTGAGCTTTTGATTTGGGAAAACTGCATCATAGAATAAAACACTGGAATTTGAAATGTGTGACATCTACCTATTCTATGGAAAGAAAAAAGTTTGAGTATAAATTTACCCAGTCACTTTAATAAGTAATGGCTATTTGGGGATATAGGAATAGTATAAATAGCTGTGTTTATATGACTTGGGTTGAAGGTGCCTGGCAATTTTTGTATGCCACTACAGAGAACTTTTGGTACTGGCTCTTGAATGATACATTGCTTTGGAATATGAGGCTTTTTTTGTTGTTGTTGTTGATGTCATAATAGTTTATAACATTGTGAAATTTTAGTTGTACATTATTGTTTGTCAGTCACCATATAAATGCATCCCTTCCCCCCTTGTGCCCACCTTCCAAACCCCTTGCCCCTGGTAACCACCAAACGGTTCTCTCTGTCCATGTGTTAGTTTATCTTCCACTTATGAGTGAAATCATGCAGTGTTTGTCTTGCTCTCACTGGCTTATTTCACTTAACATAGTACACTCCAGGTCCATCCATGTTGTTGCAAGTGGGACAATTTTGTCGTTTTTTTTATGGTTGAGTAGTATATTCCATTGTATATACATACCACATCTTCTTTATCCAATCAT